AAAAATGCTAGAAAAATATCAAAAAATCACCGAAGTTTGACAAAGTTAAGCGAGTGAGTCCGACCGGGTTTGACCGATCACTATAACGAGTAGTCACGAAAAAAAAAATGTCAGGGAATTTTTTTCTTTAAGCCTCGCTGGACATCCTGATTTTAAAATAATTTTTAATACTGCAATATGAATTAAAAATAATTTTAATTATTAATTAATAATAAAATACTTCATTTGTTTGCTCATAATTTTTATATAATTTTTATTTCTGCAATATATAGACTAGAAAAAGTTTGGATAAATAATTGTTTTTAATTATTCTATATTTCTTTTTTCTAAATATAATTATAGAATATTTGTTATAAGTTTGCTTCTATAATTAAATTAAATGATTTTATGATGAAAATTGTTCTTTGAAAGGTAATAAAATATTTTATTATTTCTTAATAAATAATTATTTTTATTTTTAAATATTTAACAATGTAATATTAAGTTTCTCACAAGTGCAGAAAAATCTGTCTATTTAGTATATAAAGAAGTTCAGAATTTCTCATTTCAGCGTGAATTATGTATGCTATATGCGTTGCGTTATTCTGCGTTTATGTATGCGTATTGTAGTTAGGATGTGTTAGGAATAATTTTAAACCAATCAAAGCGTACCAGTTATATGTATTAAGAAATACTCCCACTACCCTCGAATAGAAAAGGAGAGAAAATCTTAGAAAAGAGCCATTGGTGATTCCGACGTTTTTCTTTTTTTCACGGCTCCTGCTTTTTTGTATAGTTTTAGCAAATATTGAAACGTGCATTATTTTATAACACCACTCCTACTTTTTCGTATAGTTTTAGCAAATTACGAAATGTTGGTTCTGATTTTTCGTATAAATTTAGTAAATAACAAAGTGCTAGACTGTTTACTTCCTATACTGTTTTTTCCTATAGTTTTTTCAATATTGGAAAATTGTAGATTTGAATTAAGAAATAATAATTTCAGTTTTCGTAAAAAGTATACCAACTTTTATTATCAAACCAGAATGTTTCGCAACTGAAAAACAAAAATATCAAAATTTCTATTCAGATTTATTAAATATTCTATAACAAGATTTCTTTCCGTGTGATTTTTAACTTAAGAAATAAAGAAATAAATGTAATAACAAATTCCTTACTCTGCTTTTAAAATATGAAATTTTTTCTCGAGATTTTTCTTTAGCCAATGAATTTTGTTTTCAATAATAGGTAAACAAGTAATAAAATTGGATTTTGATATCAAAGGAAATACTTTAGGGTTCAATAAACTCTCATATAAATAGTAGGGGATTTATTTTTCCACATGAGAAAATATAATTTATTTATAAACTTTTCAAACATGTTTATTTTATTATTATTATTATTATTATATTATTAGTATTAAAATATGTCGTTTCTATTATTTATTAACTGCAATTATTATAAATTTTTTCCACTTTTTTTTACAGTTCTTTAAACAGAAATTGTATTTTTATTTCTCATTTTTCATAGAATCTTTATATTCCCTCTTTGTGTAGAAAAATAAAATTTCCGTCCAAAATAAAACAAACAACTCGACAAGCTATATACAATTCAGATCCTTTTTGCTTCGCAATTTTATAGAGACCTGGTCGTCGACCTACTCAATCGTTACCTCTTCATTATCTTTAAATTTACTCATCCGACCCTTGATGAACATAATTTCAAGTTGTGTCGCAAACAAGCTTAATTGTCTTCTCTTTAATTAATTACCATTTTCTCAAGTGAATTTTAATTATTTTCTCAAATCTACTTTTACATTCTTTTGTTTCACTCTTTTTGTAAAAATTCGCATTTTTTGTAATTCAATTATAAGATTGTTAATTTAGTAAAATATGAAAAGATATTCTTTTTTTTTTTAATATAGTGATAATTTTAAAGTTGCTAATTAAAGACAGTATGTCATTTAATTAAAAAAGTATAATTATTGAATTACTTTTAACTTTATGAGTTCTGTGATGTGTTAAATGTGCTTTTGAAGTGAATGACCCTAAAAAGAATTAGTTAAAAGTGAATTTATCACTAGCGAAAGATGACTGAGATCCGAGTGGAAAAATCTGTGAAAGAAAATAACAGGAAAGAAAACTTAAAAAAAAATTGGAAGAAAAATATTTCAAAGGTTGTAATTTATTTTTATGTATAGTGTTTACGATTGGTTATATTTCAATTTATGAGATTTATTTTGCTTCTGTCAATCGAATTGGTAAATATATATATATATATTTAAGGGAAAAGCAGACCATTTCTTATTAAATTTATTGATTTCCGAAAGGAGGAAGAAAACTTTTTTCGAGAAAGCTAACGAACTCAAGAAACTTGGATTTGGAGTAGCAAACGATATCTTAATATAGAAAGGAGAGAACAGCTAAAGAAACCTCTTCTTAAAGCTAGATATCTATTGAGAAAGCAAGGCGTAGATATGCTGAAATCGATAATTTGCGAGGTGTTTCTTACTTAAAAAATCAATTTCAGTTTGAACTCCGCTTGGAAGTCAGTGGATTTCCGTAGAAAACTCCAGGGATTCAAAAGCATTATGTTCCGAACATCACCAATAGACGGGGATTTAGCGATAAGCATGATGGAGTTCGTACGATTCACGCACTGAACGTCAAATTCGATTCACTCTCAAGAGGACGATGAAGCAATCAAGGAACAGTCGTAGCAGCACGAGCTACAAAAACCCGTGCAGAAATTTTGACCGGGCCCTGGCCAGGGCCAGACCGGGCAAGACCGGGGCCACTTCGGGAAATCTGGCCTGCCCCCGGCCTGGATGAAACAATAAAACCGACCGGGGCCATGGCTCGGGGCCCGATCTGGTTCCCTGCTGGGGACCCGACCGGGGCCATCAAATTTTTCCCGATTTGACCACCATTCAAATGTTTGTGGTATGGTAAACCATACAGTAGTCATCTGCCTAACAATTTAGAGTGGATATTGATTTGGTCTTCAGATTCATTAATTTCGTAGTTTGAATCAATGTCGTCTGGTGTGAGACAATCTTCCATATGGGAAATAAGCGAATCATATTGTTGTCCTAGCTGTGAGCTGATATTCTCATTAACATTCGCATCTTCATGATTTGAATCATCTGAAGCTATAAGGCATAGAATTATATTTAACATACATGAAAATAGTTGTTATCATTATTATTATATAAGAAAGAAAGATCATTCTTATAAAACTAATTTCGATCGAGTGATAAATTCATACTTATACATATTATTATTATAACAAATGTGAAAGAATATATAAGAAGTCAGATGTAATAAAAAAATTTTTAACTTAAATTCGGGATTTTTTCAAAGGAATACTACTAGAACATTTGTAAAACTATAAAAATAAAAACAATATTTATAAAGTTAGAATACAAAATCTCTATTTTTAGGTTATTTTTTATTTGGTAATTTAATATCATGTGAATAATATTTTTTACTTACGACTTGATATATTCGGCAGAGATGAAAATTGGGTTGACAGTCGATGTTTCCGTACACGTTTCGTACTTTTGTGTTTTGGCATATTATTCACAGAAATAAATAATTTATGTATCCAAAATAAAACAAAAGTTAGGCCAAGAAGACTAGAAATGGGAGGTACCGTACGAATACGTAAGAAAAGGGGTTTTCTGAAATAGGCAGAGCAATAGAATAAGTTGCAAGTCGCGGTAGCCTTCTGCGCAGACTAACTGTTGACTTACCATCTGGCGGTAATTCAGAATAAAATACTAACACTGACTCTATACGTACGTATATGCTTCGGTAAAATAAATATCTGCTTCTTTATTATCACCTGTTCGTAATATGCGCAGGAGGCTCCTGCGTCTTGCAACTTATCCGCCCATTTCAGAAAACCAAATTGTCACGTACCCCCACTACCTAACGTGTACTTCCTGTTTCTATAGCCTTCTTGAGTTCTGCACTCCTCTATAAAAATTTATTTTTACTTATCTTATTATTGGGGCAACCCGGCCTGGCCACGACCGGGGCCACTAACATTTACTGACCCGGGGCCGGACCAGATAATCTGGCCGGGGCCAGGTCGGAAATAGGGAGGAAGGGTGGAAATTTCTGCACGGGAAGCAAGACCTAATTAAAATTGAAGGTGACTACAACAAGGAGGTTTTCACCGCAGAGTTTATCAAGGCAGTCCAGGAGCATAGATAAGGTGGATCGAAGGATCATATACTCGACATCGGCGACTTAGATTGCTTTACACAGGTAGAAGAGGTCCAACCAGTGCTGGATAAGGAACTTGGAAAGCTAGGATGCAGAAAAGTGACGGTCATAGGATCCAACCATCAAGAAACAAAGCTCGAGGTTATAGTGTAGTAACCAACTCAGAGAAGGCGGACAGGTTGGAGTAATTAGACCACTTAAAGATCGGATTTATTTTCTTCCTTATTAGAAGAAGAGTTACAAGGCGCTTGAATTTTCTCCAAATTTCAAATGACCTACACTTAATAAACCTAAATTTGTTTTGCTTAAAAGTCATACGGATTAATTATTATTTTGCCTAATCTGTATACAAACTAATTCTTATTTGGCCTAATCTTGTTTCAACGTAATTGTAATTTGAACTAATCGTCATTTGTCCTAATTCTCATTTGGTGTAATCTTAATGTAACCCAATTCTTATTTATCTGCCCTAATTCTCACTTTGCCTAAATTTTCTATAACCTAATACTTTTTTTGCCTCATCTTTATCTTACATTATTATTGCTTGGCCTAAACATTATTTGCCATAATTTTCAAATAATTTTCAACTAGCCTAATTATCAATTGGGCGAAACGCCACTTAAGTTAATTTTTATTTCATCTAATTTTTACGTCACCAAATTTTCATTTGATCTAAACATTTTAAAACCTAATTGTTTTAATATTAAACTAAACTAATTTTTATTTATTCCATTTTTTTCTGCTCTTAATTCTTATGCGCTCTAAATTTTATTGTTCTGATTTTTGCAGGTCAAACAGAATAAGAGCGGTCATCCAAACATAACCTCAGAGTTCGGGCTTCCTGATTGGTTACCAAGGACAGATTTTCCATCGAAATTAAAAAAAAAAGGTATTGAAATTTTATTATTCAAATTATTTCTATTCAGAATTATCGATGCTGAACTTTTTTGTTCTATTAAAGCTCCTGCATGTATTAAATTTATTTTATAGAATCAAAATTTATGTCGAAACTGATTCCAATATCCAGTGTGTGCCTAATTTAAATTATTATCAATCAAGTTTAGAGCCATATAAATATCGATTTTAATCAAAAAATAACGTTCTCATTTATATCTTTTGGCTTCCTTAATTGTCTTCAGAGCGCTCTCAGAAACTTCCGGGAATATGTTATAAATAGTTAATGAATTCCTTTATCAATATAATGAATTCAAAAGTCTAAAATCATAAAGTGCTTCTTAATGTATAATTTTATCTTCGTGACAGTTTATCTGACAAAAGTTAAATTTCTGTAAATCATATGGAAATTATTTTCTTGAAAAAAAAAAGATTCCCTTATATATAATTTTATGTTTCAAATTTTTGTTCTATTCTAGAAATATAGAATTGTTTTTTAAAGAATGAAATAATTTTTTCAAAAAATGGTTTATTGAAAAAATTATATTCTAATTTTAAGAATATCTTCTTGGGGTTTAAAGGAATTCATTTTTCCCAGCTAGTAAAAATGGTTTCTTGTTTTCCGTAGGGTAAAAAAACTCAGTTAAAAAAGAAAAAAACTGGTCAAAAATGATTCTTGTCTAACGCCGTACATGAGCATTTTTGACCAACGAAGTAATATCCTCATGACGCATAAGTGAGTTAAACGGGTAGTACACTACTGCATACGCGCATAAACCGTGCGCATATAACACAACGTGAGGACTAACCTCTAAACACAGTTCCAAGTCTCCTTGTACGTTTTCTTTTAGTTTCATTTTAAAAATTATTATATATATATATATATATATGTTGTATATATAATTATATCTTTTAAATATACGATTTTGTTTCGGGGGCTTCGCCCCCCAATACCTTCACCTATGTAGCGGCGCTTTAAAAGGTGCTTTCCATAAAATAACATTTCTAAGTCGAACTCAAGAAATAGCAGTGAGATAATTTATTTATTCTTTTGAGAGTATTTTTTTTAGTCAGGGGGCAAGCTCCCCCCCCCCGAACCCCCCCTTGCGTGCTTAAACGTGTGAAATATTCTTAAATAGATGCCAAATTGATATTCTTAGAATATAATTTTTTCATTGTATTTTTGAGAACATTTAGTATAGATATTAACTTTTTGTCAATTAAAGTTCTTTTTCAAATTTAAATCATAAATCTATAATTTCAATTAGTTTGAAAATTAAATTCAAAATTTTACTCTAGACCCAATAAATGATAATTTATTACATCAGAACCAAATAGGGTAATTTATGTATAATATAGTAATTCACAGCAATACATATATACATAATTTCGTTATCGAGTCATATTTTAGGCGAAAATTTAAATATTTCTTACGTAATTGGCCATTAGTAGTATTTTCTTAATAAAATTATCAGATATTATGAATTCTACTGTATTGGTGATTTAGACATAATAATTCAACAATAAATGTAACATTTTATACGTTTTTATTTTATTTTTTTAATTTTCTGCTAAATTTAAAGAAAAATTTATTATATTGCTGCGAATTATTTTGTTAATAATAATTTAATAATATTAATAATAAAATAAATAAAATTAATAATAATAATAATAAAAATAGTAAAAATTTAATAGAATTGCTATTTTATATTTTAAAAAAATATTTATTACAAGGTGTAACAATTTGAAAATTAACAAATTTTAAATATTATTGATTACTGTATTATTTAGAAGATAAATTTAATTTCTAAATTTCACAGTATAAAAGGTGGAAAACCAATGGAAAAGAAATTATTTACCTCAAAACACGTTTCGACAAAAAAAGAAATTGAGATTTAGCAACATCATTCTTTGCGGAGAAAAAAAAATTCCATGTCTATTAAGAGCATCATCCGAAAAGAGATTTCATTTTACCTTCTAGTTTTTCTTCTTCTCGTAAATAACTTTTTGGCAACATTCTTAAACATCTTAAGCTTTTATAAAAAAAAGTAGTCTCTCGACTTTTGGGCGAAGAAATCTTTTTTAAGAGCTCATTAGCAATTCGTTTAAAGTAATTAATAAATTATTGTTATTATTAATTATTTTTTGTTATTTATTTCTAGAATATTATTATTATTATTATAATTATTAGTACCCTATTACATATGGGTACTTAGTGCCTAATACACAGAAAAAACCGTAAACTGAAATTAAGAATATATTCGCGGAATATATTATTCTTAAAATAAGAATATATACTGAATTTATGTAAAAAAATATTCTTAAATATGCGCCACGAATATATTCTTAATTTCAGTTTACGGTTTTTTCTGTGTAATGAACAAAAAGTAAAAAAAAAAAATTTCTAGTTTTGAAAGAATTTGGTTTCAATTATACTATAATTAAGTTTTTAAATGATGAGAAGTGTTTAAATAATTTTAAAAATGTAACTAAATAATGGCACTGTACATCAGTATATATGTATAGTACCATTATTTAGTTAATTCATGGGTAACGGAATCTTTTCTATTTTTTCATTTATAGAATATAGAATATTTCTGCGTCAAATCGTAAAATTTCCTAACGATTTATGTGAAATTTTCTTTACTTAAATTCGCAGTTATGGCTTTTAATTTTCACGAAAGCTACAAATTAACTTTTATGATTTATCCTTTTCATATAATAAAATTTCTATATTTATCTCATAACGTCATTTAACATGATTATTGATCAAAACGAGGATCAAAAACAGTTAAGACGAATAATAAATTTTCCCTAAGTTAAATATGATTTATTCAGTATAAATAAATTTGAAATTTCCGTTTAAGTAACTTTTATTATAATTAATGCATTTTCGGAAAATTTATAATTTTTGCCAACAAAAATGTTTGAAATAATATTACAATGATACAAAATGACAAAAGTTCAAATTAACTTTTAGACCAAAATTATGAAACAAATTCAAAAATTCTTCTTTCCTCTGACTGAGAAGTAAATTTTGAATACATCTGTGAGAGTCGACTTTTTATAATTTTTGTTTTATAAATTTTTAATGTTAATGCAAATTGTAAAAAAATTCTTAGTTTTTAAACTTTTTAGTCTATTTCGACTAAACATTTTTTTTTATACATACTAAAGTTACACTAAAAAATTGTTATAAACAAATTATATATACAATTGCTATCTAAGGCTATGTGTGGTCAAATGAAAAAAAATTTTAACTAAATTTCTTTAATTGATTATTTTCATTGAACTTTTTTTTTTATTAAAAAGTTGTTTTTTGATAAATTTTCTTATTTTTTTAAACAAATATAAATATACATTTTTATTCCATACACAAAATTCAACTATATTTTGATATTTAAATTGCAAAAAAAAACTAAAAACGTCGGTTAGGCGTACAATTTTTTTGCTAAGAGAAGCAATTAACTCAACTTTCAAAGAAATTTTTAATTATTTTTTTTATTAAAAGTAAAATTGACTAAAACGACATAAAACACACCGTGGGGTCTCTGTGACCCCAAATCTATTTTCAAGACATTTACAAGCCAAATGACTAGTGCAATGTAGTTGGTATGTATCGGAATGTGTAGTTAGTACCTGATATTTCTAACAGATGGCATCAGACTTGCCAAATTGAAAAATGTGTGAAAAATATAAAATTGAAATTTGGGTTCCCACAGAAAAAAAATTGTTAAGTAATACATATTACAATAGAATTTCAATATTCAGGTATAGAAGCACAATTAATACAATAGGGGGTCATAAATGGTTTATTATGACTAGACTTCCAGTCGACTCTATTGTTATGTCCCCTTATCTCCTTATTTTTCTTTTAAAATATTTCATATAATATTTTAACATAAATTAACTTTTAGATCAAAATTATGAAATTATTTTTTTTTAGTTATTTATTTAAGATCGAAAGTTTAATATTTTAATCTAATATTTCAATACAAATTTTGCTTCCTGCTTGCTTCTGCCATCTGACGGCGACAGGACGTAACGAAACATAAAAAAATATTTTATGTAATATTACTATATAATTTCAATATTCAGGTATAGAAGAACAATTAAAAATTTAATACAATAGGGTGTCATAAATGTTTTATTATGACTAGACTTCCAGTCGACTCTATTGTTATGTCCCCTTATCTCCTTATTTTTCTTTTAAAATATTTAATATAATATTTTAACATAAATTAAATTTTAGATCACAATTATGAAATTATTTTTTTTATTTTTATTTATTTAAGATCGAAAATTTAATATTTTAATCTAATATTTTAACACAAATTGTGCTCCCTGCTTGCTTCTGCCATCTGACGGCGACAGGACGAAACGAAGCATAAACAAATACTTCAAGTAATATTACTATATTATTTTTTCAATATTCAGGTATAGAAGGATGACTAATACAATAGGGTGTCATAAATGGTTTATTATGACTTGACTGCCAGTCGATTCTATTGTTTTTATATTCACTTCTTTCCTTATTTTCTGTTGGAATATTTAATAAAATTTAATATAATATTTTAACATAAATTAAATTTTAGATCACAATTATGAAATTATTTTTTTTATTTTTATTTATTTAAGATCGAAAATTTAATATTTTAATCTAATATTTCAACACAAATTGTGCTCCCTGCTTGCTTCTGCCATCTGACGGCGACAGGACGAAACGAAGCATAAACAAATACTTCAAGTAATATTACTATATTATTTTTTCAATATTCAGGTATACAAGGACGACTAATACCATAGGGTGTCATAAATGTTCTATTATGACTAGACTTTTAGTCGACTCTATTGTTGTTATGACCCTTTGTCTCCTTATTTTTCCCTCGCTTTAATTATTTAATATTTTAATATAATATTTTTAAAAAATTAAATTTTAGACCACAATTATTAAATTTGTAAATTCTTGTTTTTTCTAACTCAGAATTAAATTCTGAACAGATAGTGTAATTATTTATTATAATAATAAAATTCATTGCAAAAAATTTTTATCATAAGAATAATATTTTAGCGGTCTAGATTTAACATTAATCGTAAAAAATTCGATTAACTTCTGATCAGAAATAACCGTATGGTGTGTTTGTTTATAAAACATTTTTTAAAAAAAGAAAGAATATTTATCGAAAAACCAATTTTTAATAGAAAAAAGTCCAATCGCTTAAATCAAAAACAAATTTACTTAAAAAGAATTTTTTATTTGACTACAAACAGACTTAAAATGCAATTGTTGTATAATTTGTTTATAACAATTTTTAAGTATACAAATTTTTTTCATAGTTATTTTATTCCAAAATTTTTACGGCGTCGAATCTTAAATTATCGAATTTCTATTTAGCAAAATTGTATAAAGTGGATTTTATATTATGCAAAATTTTCATATCGAAGAATTTACATTTAACTAAAACTCGATTTAAAAGAATTTCTATTTAGCAGAACTCTTACCTATAAAGCATTTTTTCTAATACTTTTTTAAAATTTTAAATTAAATTAATTTCAAGTTAACGAAATTTATGTCTATAAAAATTGCAAAAAAAGAACTAAGCAGAATTTTTCTTAAATGAGAATTCTGTTAAATAAGAATTAGTTCGAATTAAAATTTTGTTTAATTTTTTTTTAAATAGAAAATCTGTTAATTGTGGATTTATGGAATGACAATTCTGTTAAGTAAATATTTTAATTAATCAAAATTCACTACAATAAAAATTCTGTTAAAAAAATTTTTATTTATGCAATTTGATAATTTAAGAATTGTCGCCGTAAAAATTCTTTTAAATTAAATGTTGATAATATTTATATGTCCCCAATTAGTTTATTTATGTCACTTGAATATTTTATTTTTTACGAAACATTATTTATTTGGTTCAAATACATATGAAATTAGTGGATAATAGACAGGTAAATGATTTATTTGTATCAAAATTAATTTTATTTGATTAAAATAAAAATTTTTTAGTGTAATTTAGGTCAGGGAAAAGTCAGGGAATTTTTTCCCTAGCTGTTTTAAGACACCCTGAAAAGTACAATCGCTTAAATCAAAATCAAATTTATTTTAAAAAAAATTTTTTTTATTTGATCACAAACAGCCTAAAATGCAATTGTTATTTATAATAATTTTTAAGTGTACAAATTTTTTTTTATAGTTATTTTGTCCCAAAATATTATTACATATTCAGATGAAAAAATAGTAACATTAGGTTGGCCATTTTAGACACATTGCCCCTGTTTATTTGTAATTTTAATCTCAATCTTACTTAATATAAAGTCACAACGGAGTATAATAATTAATATTACTATATTATTTTTTCAATATTCAGGTATAAAAGAACGACTAATACAATAGGGTGTCATAAATGGTTTATTATGACTAGACTGCCAGTCGATTCTATTGTTTTTATATTTACTTCTTCCCTTATTTTCTGTTGGAATATTTAATAAAATTTAATATAATATTTCAACAAAATTTAACTTTTAGACCACAATTACGAAATTCGAAAATTCTTTCTTTTTTTTATTTATTTAAGATCGAAAATTTAATATTTTAATCTAATATTTCAATACAAATTGTGCTTCCTGCATGCTTCTGCCATCTGACGGCGACAGGACGTAACGAAACATAAACAAGTACTTCAAGTAATATTACTGTATAATTTCAATATTCAGGTATAGAAAGACAATTAATACAATAGGGTGTCATAAATGGTTTATTTTGAGTAGACTTTCAGACAACTCTATTGTCCTTATCTCTCCTTATTTTTCTTTTAAAATATATTTAATATTTGAATATAATATTTTAACTAAAATTAACTTTTAGACCTCAATTATGAAATTCAAAAATTCTTTCTTTTTTTTATTTATTTAAGGTCGAAAATTTAATATTTCAATACAAATTGTGCTCCCTGCTTGCTTCTGCCATCTGACGGCGACAGGACGTAACGAAACATGAACGAATAATTTAAGTAATATTATTATTTAATTTTAATATTCAGGTATAGAAGAACAACTAATACAGTAGGGTGTCATAAATGGTTTATTATGACTAGACTTCCAGACAACTCTATTGTCTTTATCTCTCCTTATTTTTCTTTTAGAATATATTTAATATTTTAAATTTGTCGCCGGAAAAATGAAAGAAAACCAAAAATGAAAAAAAAAAATTATGACGATAACTGAAGAAGAAAAAATATTTCTTGTTTCTTCTTCATTATCATTCCCAAAAATGAAATCTAGAACTAGACTATATTTTTCCGAAGCATTTGTCGGTCAACTTTTAGACCACAATTATGAAATTCGAAAATTCTTGTTTCCCCTAACTCAGAATTGAATTCTGAAGAGATTATAAAATTCCAATAATTTCTAACTAAAAATGGCGAATCCCCTCCATGTAGAAACTCCGACTGCTTCACTTTGCGAATGTCTACATGGAGGGAATATCGCTCTCGTGCAAAATTCTAAAGCAAATTTACAAAGAAAAACATTTTTCTTTTGCCTAAAAATAGGCGTAAAATGTAATTGCTTTTGTAATATATCTGTTGAAGAGCTTACTATTCTTGAATATTTTACAGCCCTTCAAAAAAAAAAAAAAAATATCTTTGGAAAAGAAAATTTTTGTTTTTCGTACAATAACACAGACCGACAAAATTTTGATCTACTTTAGAATCAAGAGCTAGACTATATTTTTCCGAAGCATTTTAAATCCAAGTTTGACCTCAGAATTGACGCAGTACGTTAGGTTTTCAATATATTCTACTACCTTAAAGTGCAAAAGCCGTTTTTTGATCATATTTGAGGTCATGTAAAATCAAGAGATTTTTTTTTTCCCAAAAAGGTTGTTACAGAATTTGAAACTACTATTCTTATCCTTTAAAATACATTTAAAAATTTTTAAAAATCTTTATCTCTAAGTTATCGTCATTTGAATATTTTGAAGCATTATCTGTTACATGCCCTCGAATATTGTCAAAAAACGTCTTTTTTGTACTTTCAGGTTAGAATATCTCGAAAACTTCTGCGTCAATTCTGCGAGGTCAGATTCTAATTCAAAATACTTCGGAAAAGTATAGTCTGATTCTTGATTATAAAATAGGTCAAAATTTTTTCAACCTGTGTAATTGTGACTGGAAGTATATAATCTAGAAAAATTTTAGAGAGAATTTGAAATTTGCTTTAGATCACCATTTAAAAGCATTACATTTAATTTAATTTTAAGAATGTTAAAAAAGCTTAACGTAATTGCTTATGTAATTTGTTTAAAACAAGTTTTTAATTATAAAAAAAATTTCATGACGAAATAGACCAAAAAGTTCAAAAAATAATATCTTTTTTACAGTTTGTATTAACATTATAAAATAAAACAAAAATTAAAAAATCGACTCTCACAGATTTGTTAATTTGATCCAAAGTAATTTTGTATCACTTTGTCATAATATTAACATCAGTATTTAAATATTAATTCGATTAAATATTTTTTTCTTTTTTGAAAAGTAAGTCCATAAGATTTAATAATTCGAATATTTGGCGTCGATTATGTAATTCCATTCCCAGATAGCACGTAACCTTGCCGCGCAAAGTTACCAACCTTGCACGGCAAATTTGCTGCAAGCTTCAAATGTCCCACCTGACCGAAAGCTTGCATGGTAATCTTACCGAAAGATTGCAGTGTAAGGTTACTGCAAGATTGCACAATAAGATTATCGCAAGATTGCTCAGTAAGCATGCACGGTAAGCTTGTAGCAAGGTTCCCAAATAACCTAGCTTTAAACCTAAAAATTTTTTTTAATGTTTCGTCTAATTTTTATAATGCAATTAGATAAAGGAGACGAAACATTAAAAAAAAATTTTAGGTTTAAAGTTAGGTTATTTGGGAACCTTGCACCAACCTTACTATAAGTTAACCGTGCAAGCTTACTGAGCAATCTTGCGATAATCTTATTGTGCAATCTTGTAGTAACCTTACACTGTAATCTGCTGAATCATTTCAAGCTTGCGGCAAGGTTACCGTGCAAGGTTGGCAATATTGCACGGCAAGATTGCCGCAAGCTCACGTTCTATCTGGGTCTTCACTTTCACTTATTTCACTTCCACTGATTATAATTTTTAGTCTCAATATCATTTTCATTAATTTTTAATGAGTGGAAATGAAAGTGAAAGTGAAAATTTATGTTGAAATGAGAAGCAGTAAAAGTGAAAATAATAGTGAAAATTAGAATAAATTGAAGTGTATGTGAATGTGAAAGTGACACTGAGGCTTAAAATCAGTATAAAATGATTGATTTTCACCCAAGGGAGTAAAGAGGTTTTATTGTAATCATTATAAGGTTAAATTAAATTTTATCCAAGTCGCAATTTGGATCCTCTTTTACTCCTCCTAGAACCTTAATAAACCCTCTTTTTGGATCTTTTAAACTCTCGTAGCCCCTCCTTTGAATCGAATGGGCTCAAAATGATCCACCTAGCAGGATCATTTTGATCCGCAGCAAAAATGAGTCAAGTAGGTGGCGCCACGTTCTATTTCGTTTAGCATTGGCTCATTTTAAACCGCAGAAAAAATGAGCCCAGGTTTTTACTGTGATAGAGAGAGTCTAGTTTGATAAAAAAAATATTTTTTTAATTCTTTTGATTGAAGCAAAATGATTATTTTTTCACGCAATTTCTCTTTAAATACCCTTTAAAAACTGGAATTAATATATTATAAAGCGTTTTAAAAAAATTACTAAAATTACAGCAATTTAAAAAATTTTCAATATTTTAATCAATTTTTAGGTCCTACTTTAAATCCAGAAGAGGAAAAAAGGGAAATTTGTGCACATCTAAAGCAGCTAAAGAGGGTCTATGATGCCTTAAACTTCGCCTCGGGTATGTATTGACTTTTATTGATATTTTTATTTAATAAGTACTTAAAACATACTTACCTGGTTTTTTATGCCAATTATATTTTGATTGTAAGATAAAACGTAAAGGTATTTTTTTGGAAAAAAAATTTTTTTTTTACTTTTCATGGAATTTTTGTTTAATTTTAATGGAATTTACACGGGAAATTCTGCAAATTCCAAGGGATGTATGTGTGAGTGTATATGGGCGATTTCATGTGTGATTTCTGTCAACCCTTTAAAATCGGCAAAATATATTTTTTTCTTGTTCTGTAGTGAAAAAAAAGGAGATACGTATTTATTTATTTATTTATTTTTTTGACAAATTTTTGAGTTACGAATTTTCAAAATTTCAGTTTTGTAAATGTAGACGTATTTTCAATGGCTGATAACTCGAAAAAAATGGATTTTTTCAATTTTTTCCAAGAAAAGAAAAGTTTTAGTTTTTCTTTTACTTTTCAATAATGTTAACAAAAAATTTTTTTTTCATTTTTTATTACAAAAATAACAATTTTTTTATAAACAAATTAAGGTTTTTTAAATTTGGGGCGGTATAGATTCTACACAAAAAAAACCCTACACGAGAGAATTGCGCACCGATAATTTTACAAAAAAAAATCCTACACTTGAACAATAAGCAAAATAAAATTAATTAACAATTTTTTACTTTACACAATTAAATCAAACATAATTTTATTCTACACATTCAATTGCACACAGAAAAACCCTACACCGTTAACTCTGAAAAAAAAATTCTACACAATAATATGCGGAATAAAATTTAAAAACAAATAATAAAAATTCTAAACGATTAAATACTACAAAATATAACTGTACAAATTAAATTGCACTCAGGAAAACCCTACACGATTAACTCTGCACAAGAAGATTCTGCACCTTAATAATAACCAGAATAAAATTCTGAAATAAAAAATTTATTTTTAATAATCCTACACGATAAATTGCACATAATTTGTACAGTTATATTTTGTAGTATTCAATCGTTTAGAATTTTTATTATTTGTTTTTAAATTTTATTCCGCATATTATTGTGTAGAATTTTTTTTTTCAGAGTTAACGGTGTAGGGTTTTCCTGTGTGCAATTGAATGTGTAGAATAAAATTATGCACTTCCGACAAAAAATTAAACAATTATTTTACATTAAACAACTATTTTTTAAACAATAATGTTCATAAAGATTGTAACGACATATTTTAGGGGCTTACTATAGTTTCCCTCTTCCCATAGGAATAGTCATATAAATGTTTTTGACATTTTTTTTTAATTATAATTTTGGATTTGTCCTTTTTCAGAGATTCGCCCTTGTAAAATTGAATGGTATTTTTATTTTTAACAAAAAATTGAAATTTTTAATTTTTTTCAAAACTAATTTATATAAGTGTTTATAATGATAAGGAAGCTAAATGGTCATGAAATAAACAAATTTTTAACTTGTTTATTGATCATAACATAGTCAATATCATTATGTATGATAATGATTAAATCAAGATAAAAGTTCATATATATATATATATATATCTGTATATATAATTTCTTTCTTATAAATAGTGTGTGATATAAAAAAAAACATTTTGGACCTTTCTCTTAATTAACTGCTGTATACATATATACATGTAGTACATAAAGTGGAACCTAATCAAACAAATCCGTTGGTGATAAGATACAGCAAGTTCCATTCAAAAGTAAGAGTAGGTAAAGTATTGACCCTCCTCAATTACTGTCAAATACACACAGAAGATACTGATCGAAGAAAACTTTGGTCAAATCGTTCCGAGTCGTTGTATTATATGCGACTCACGTATTTTTATTATTGAACTTCATTACGTTTGGATTTTAAAAGTTAGAGACATTCCCAAAAGACATTCAATAATATATAATGTCTTGTTCTCATTTTTACAATTGTTGTTTTAACAACGTTTATATGTATATTTTATTCTTATTACATTATACTGGGTTTTGTTATATAGAAAAAAAAATTTGTCTCCAAAGAACGACATTGATGAATGACGATTTACTTCCTTGTTTAACTTTTTCTCATCGTTAATTCTTGACAATTTTTGTCAAAAAAAAAAAAAAAAAACCGAGATAATTAAATTTTTTTGGAAATAGAAAATCTTAAATACCGTCAACCGGGGCTGTTATACTCAAAAAACTCTACTTTTTTACTCAGTGCTTGAGCAAAATTCAGAATTTTGATTTTAAAAAATTTCAACTCTTGTGTTATGTTGTGAACATTCTTCTGAAGGTATGCTGTAAGTTAGAAGGAAAATAAATTTTTTTTACCAGAGTTATAAAAATTTAAAGTGGTAAGTAAAATAGCCCCAACCGGTGAATATAGTAGCCCCACGGTTGGGGCTATTATACTAAGCAAAGTTTGTATATTTCTAAAATATCCTTAATATTTATTATACTTTATTAGCTTTATGAAAGCTTTTCTACAAATAGTTTAGATTAAGATAAAAAAAATAGAAAATCTAAAAAAAAATTTTATATTACCAGTATTTAACCCCTTGACAGTCGATGGCCCATATATATGTCCAAAAAAAAAACGTGCCACCTTTGTGATTTTGGACATATATGTCCACATTAGAAAAAAATAATAAACATAATTCGATTTGAGTGTCAATGGGTATACTACGGTTTTCGGGGTCGTTGAATCCGAATTTGAGGTCAGAATTAAAAAATTCAAAATGGCGGATCCAATATGGCGACTCAATATAGCGGAAAAATTTAAAATTGATTCGATTCGTTTAAAATTCGGTACTCGGGGATTTTTGGGGTCGCTGAATCCAAATTTGAAGTCAAATTTAAAAAATTCAAAATGACAAACCAATATGGCGGAAAATTTCAAAATTGATTTGATTCGTTCAAAATTTGGTACTCGGGGGTTTTTTGAATTTATGAATCCAAATTTTGAATTTTTTAAATCTGACATCAAGTTTGGATTCAGCGACAACAAAAATCGCCGAGTACTGAATTTTGAACGAATCGAATCAATTTTAAATTTTTCCACCATATTGGATCGCCATATTGGGTCAGCCATTTTGTATTTCTTAAATCTGACCTTAAATTTGGATTTAGCGACTCCAAAAACTTTTAATACGATGATATGAAATTTTTTTGGAAACTTTTTTTTAAAGTTATTTCAATATTTTATTAATTAAAAAAACTGGCGCTGAGTATAATAGCCCTTGGGTGAGTAGAATAGCCCCTGTTGACAGTAAAAAAAAATAATTTTGGAGAAGAAAAATTTAAAAAAAAATTCATCCTCACCATACAGAGGAAGGTACACTGAAAAAATGATATTCTAGATTTAAGAATTTCATTTCGAATATTTCAGAATATTTCGCCAAGAATATTCCCCAATTAATCCTTACGTACCTGAGCTAGGTCCCTTGGACCCAGACAACTTTTTTTCCATGTACTTCAATATATTTGCTTGAAAATCGTTACTCGGAGATTTTTGGGGTCGCTAATTACGAATACGGTATCCGTTTTTCAAAATTCAAAATGGCGGACAAATTTTTAAAAAATCGTTCAAGTTCGTTTGAAAATTGTTACTTGGGGGTTTTTGGGGTCACTGATTGCAAATCTGATGTTACTTTTTCAAAATTCAAAATGGCGGATATATATTTTTTAGTTTGACAGTTTTACTGAAAACTCGTTATTCAGGGGTTTTCAAGGTCGCTAATTACAAATCTGATATTAGTAAATTGTATTGATTTTTAATTTTCCTGTCCGCCATATTGGATCTGCCATTTTAAATTTTGAAAAATGGTCACCGGATTCGTAATCAGCGACCACGAATACCCTCGATTAAGAATTTTCAAGTGATTCCGAACCTATTTTTTAAATTCGTCCGCCATATTGGATCCGCCATTTTGAATTTTCTAAATCTGACGTCGAACTCGTAATTAGCGACCCCAGAAACTTAAGAGTACTCAGTAATACACAAATTAATTTAATTATTTCTTTTGTACTGTACACTTAAGTTCGCCCTGTCGAAAAAGGTGTCACGACACGACTTTTTGTGGTCTATTTATGTGCCCTAGAGTGTCAAAAGATTAAATATTTTTTGCAAATTATATTTGCAAAATATTACAATTATAATTTAGAATAAAAATATTGAATATTCTGATATTAAATCTTTTATTTAATAAAATTTAAGCAGGCACTCACGTCCAAATATGAATTCAGACACGTGAGGGTTACAGTAAGTGGGAAATATTCTTACATTAAGCAGTATTTTCAATCTAATTGTAAAAATATTTCCCACTTACTTTAAGTGGAGAATATTCTTGGCGTCTATTTAAGAAGAAATTATTAAATCTAGAATATCATTTTTTCATTGTATATTTTTACAGTGGAAATAAATTGAAGTACGTTACGAATAAATGTACAATAGATCTATTTACAAATTGTGTGTGTGTAAGAATATATTTTATCAGAAAGGACATTCAAAGGGATATAAGGGAAAATTTAAAGAAATAAAAAATACAATGAACATGAGTCGACAGAAAAATGTTTATTTTCTCTAGTCACGATCGCAGGTGAGCTACCTTGATAGTCAATAATATCACATCCACACACTGTACAATACTGATGTCGCAAAATTTTTCTCAAGAAAAACTGATACAATTCGTTATGAGAGTGCAATAAAAAAATTTCCAATTTATCAAAAATATTTTAAAGTTCTAACGAAATTATTCAAAAATGATAAACTTATAAGCAAAAAGCGCTGGTTAGACTGAAGCGAGAAATTTGATAAAGTAAAAAAAAATATCTTGATTTCGAGAAAAGAAAGCGTGCGCCACCTATGAACCATCGATCATATCAATATAAGCACAACGCGGGAATATTTGAAACTAATAATATAGGGGAGAGTGTGGAGTCGTACTCCACCTTAATTTTTTTATTATGGCAATTAATATGACAAATTTTAACTATTGACATATTCTTTTCTCG